TGTGTGTGTGTGTGTGTGTGTGTGTGTGTGTGTCTGTGTGTGTGTGTGTGTGTGCGTGTGATAGAAAGAATTTGCTGATAATGAAAAAACACAATTCATCTCTGAAGATGCTTTTACTTGTAAAATAACCTGATGAACCTGTTGAATTCTGTCAATTTAGTTCCACAAAGTTCTGTAAAGTTTTGTTTCGCAGGTCAACACATCGACATCGTGTTACAATCGTTATCTCATATGTGGTTACCATGTGACAGAGCTTTTAATTTGAAAAGTCTGACTGAAATAATCAAGATTTTTTCTTCACAAACTTCGCTCTCTTACCTCGACACCGCACGTCGGTCTCGCCCGCCTCGTATCCGGGGCGACAGGCGCAGCTGGATGTGGGCTGCCCCACCCACTGCCCGTCCTCGCCACAAAGCATGCTGGGAGGTCGTGACAGTTGTCCGGGCAGCGTCACTGCGTTCTCCACACACACACCCTGAGCCTACAGCACACAGACGTTTGAAAACAAAAGTTTGTAAATGACACAAACTCTCATCAGCTCACTTAATGATGAAGCTTTTATTTTGTTAACAACCTCTTTGTTAATTAAATGATTTTAATTTGTAAAGTAACAGGAAGCTTCTTTATTTGACAAATAAGAGCAGAAGTAAACTGACTTTAAATTTCAAAATAAACTGTTTTCTGAGGCATGCTGGGTACTGGAAGCTTCGGTTGCCACGGTTACTGTGTAATTACCTGCTCCACCAGAGAGTGGGGGATGGTTTCAGGGAAGGAAGCAAAGGCACGGTGGAGGGGCGGGCACTTCCTGTAGAAGACGCGTACCGACAGCAGCGCCATGCAGGTACCCTGGCTGTGGAAGGCCAGGTAGAGCCCCGCCCCCCGCAATGGCCCCAGACGCAACAGTTTGATGTTGGAGCGCCGTTCGCCACCGTGACGCAGCAGGTGGTCGGCCGCAACCGTGGCGACTTTAGTGTAAGGGTTCTCCATCCAGGACGGGTGAGTGGGCGTGGCCTCGTCACTGTCGGACTGGTAGTAATAAAGGTTGAAGGTTTCTTTACAGTGACGCTGGTTCAGAGCGGAACACTCCATCATGGTGAACCTGCAGGAACACGCTCAGTTACATCTCCACAGAAAATCCACCAACAACCAGACGACCAAAAACAAAATCTACCAACCGGATCTCCACGTAGAGGGTGGTCGCCTCCCTCCGGGGGATCCAGCGAGTCCTTAGCCAATAGGAGGACGGACTATCAGGCGTGCAGATCTGATATATCCGCACCATGTTGGACTCATCATCCAAACCACTCATTTCCTCCCACTGCACATAGACAGACAGAGCGCAGTGGATTAGCATCCTTCATTGAGATGAATAGTAAAGATTAGCTGAATGCTTACTTGTGAGTGTGTGCGTACCCCTGGGTCGTCAGCAGGATGATTCGTCCAGCGCAGATCGGACGTTTCTGATTTAGTGTTCATCAACACCTCTGAGAGACAGACAGGTAGAGTCAGACAGACATGTACAAATATAATGTAGACATACAGCTCGCACACACTCATGTACTAGTTACTGAGTAACTTCTTGGTCACATGACTGTGATGAGGTCATCGTGGTGATGCGACTCACAGTGCTCTGATTACGTCATGGATGTAATGTCTTCATTCGACAGAAACGACACGCTGCATAGTGATGCTGAGGTCAAAGGTCAGGTGGTGCATGTGATAACATACCTGGAACGTGCATCATGACGTCCAGACGACCCCGTGACCCAGCCCCCTGAGCAGCAGGTCCCCACTTCAACCACTACACCAACATTTACTGTGTCTGGTAACTGTC